AAAAAAAAAGAAAAAAAAAAAAACCACTGCCAGAAGTAAGCGCTAAAACCTTAAGTACAAAAAATTTTAAGTGCAAATCAATTACCCATTCCAAAAACTTCACCTGTCAAGAAAATGTTGACATTAGAAAATCATATATGAAGCAAATTCTCTGCTGTCTTCCTTTGTATGAAACCTCTCAAAAGCATCTCTGCTAAAGCAGCTGGAGAACAAGCCCGGGGTCCAGTTATCTTCTTTTGGATATACCATTTCAGCTTGCTAAGTCTGCAGGGAGGTCACATCCAGTCCCCTGGGAGCCTTACACCAAGCAAAGCTGAAATGCCACACTCATTAAATCCTTCCAAAATATTCCAAGTGGCTGTTAAATCCAGTGTGTCAGACCTTTTAGATCGTACCTTCTGGTGGTCTAATACTGCAGACAGGAAAAGGCACTGAAGACTCCTTATTACTTCTGTCCCTCCTTGCCCCACCCCTACTGATAAATGTTCATTTATTCAAAATTTGGTAGACTGTAAGAAAACCAGAGCGGAAGACTACTTACTGTGATTCAACCACTGATAAAAAAGGAGCCTTACAAAGACGAACCACCACCATTTTAAGATTTCACACCTGCCTCATGGACTATAAAAACTGTCTACTCATTTTAAGGTTTCTTGAAAGGATGACGTAATATAAAACTACATAATCAATGTCACCCCAACTGATTTTAAAATTTTGAAAACTTGGGAGAAAATTTACTTTGCTAGATCAAAAGTCCAGCATATGTTTAACCTGAAAACAAACCAATCCAGAATCTTAAAGAATGACAGGCTGACCTGAAGCATACTTCTTGCTAAGATGAGAATACTTGCAATACTTAGTTGTTGCTACCCCAATAAAAATGGCTTTTACAAAAAAATCTCCTGATAACTTCGGACAGAATTTTATAATAGTAAAATATGTTCCATAACATAAAATCCCACCGAACTAATGTAATCTGTAATTTGAAGGGTAATAAGTTATCTGTGCCGGTTGAAGGAAAACACAATTCAACCTGAAAAACCTCCACTGCCTACACAGCAGCCCACGCCGGTCTGAACCTTCCCTGAGGTCCCCTAAAATGCACCTACCGTCCCAGCCAGGATGTCATGGGGGCAGCAGTCCAGAAGGTGACTCTTGCAGACACGGTCATCTGTGAACTTGACCCTCTGTCTGGTTTCGTCTCCTGAAATTCATGTGTGGTTTTAAATAAGACAATATTATCGTGTTAACCACAAAAGGGTATCTGGTACAACAATTCACCTGGATTTGCAGTCTATAATTTCTGTGTTCTCCCGATATACACTGAAAAACTGATCTAAAGATATTTACAAGTAGAACAGAATACAGATGTTTTTGATGCTAAGTGTATTATGAAGAAACAGACTTAATGAGATCTGACTCCATCATTGCGCAAAGGAAGTCAAAGAGTCAGAAGTAAAAGGCTGACAAGCTCTAAAAGGCCATTAGTCCCACATACACATGTGGGGAATGAGATACCAACACCCATGCTAATCAGAGGGCCATGAATCACCACATATGACTTATAACTGGTATTTTCTACCAACAAAAGCTATTTATTAATCTAATTTTTTGTTACGGACAATTGCATAGACAGTGTTTTGTCCAAAATTATACGAAGAAGAAAGCTTCCAAATTCCACCTGTTAAATCACCTATACCTATTCTTACCATCCCCATCTTGCCCCCACCCTTAAAAAAGAGAGTTGGCACCTGGGAGTCACTTTTATCAATACCAAAAAAAAAAAAAAAAAAAGAAGCAGAAAGGAACTAGGTTAGTCAATACACACTGTGAGCTCCAACACATACTGTACCCATCTGCATTCTTCAAGACCTCAGCTGCAGAATTTTATGCCCGCTGTTGAAAAGTTTTAAAGGAAAAGTTTTCTTGCCCACACCTGCAGTAAGGAAGTCAGGGTAATGATACATAAAAGTAAAGGCAAAGTGGTATGTGACAAAGTTTCAAGCTAACCTGTGTATACGACACAGAGCTGTGTAATACTAAAGGAGGACTATATTTTAGGATTTGCAAGCATCCAGGATTAATGTAGTGTCTTTTTTATTGAAAATGTTTTCTTTCTAAACTACACTTTTAAATTACTTGTGAAAAAAAGCAAACACTTTTTTGTTATAACAGCTTAGAAATTGGTTGTGACTCACGGCTCGATGAACATGAGGCTTTTCTGCAACTCCCTTGCAGATTGATGTAGGCAGGCAAAGATACACTGAACCTTTATAAATAAAATAGAGGGGCCACAATTGTTCAGTTTGTATGAAATAAAAATATGGGAAGCAATTCAAAAGCAACTCAATATACAAAGAAAGCTAAAAAGCACTTATTCACCTATGAAGTAAAGTGCAAAGAATCTGCACAGCCCTGCAAATGAGCCAGTGTGAACTTACAACTTCATTACTTCAGTAGAAAAAGAAAACACAAACCACAGCAGGTATATGGCTTCGCAAAGATGCAACCGCTTTCTCCTGAGACAACCGTCATGATCTTGCTCTCCTCCCTACAGTACAACCTACCTAACAACTGCCAAACGCTGGCTAAATAGAGGCTCTCCTGTGTGGCTGGGGGAAGCGGGGGCTGGAAAGTATTCGGCAGGAACCCACGTGAGAAAAGCTCGATTTACGGCTCCCCTTGCAATGCTACAGAACAAGAACGGTCCAGGGTTCCGAGGCCCATCCGGCTCCGTCGGGTGTAACTTCTTCCCCGAGAAGCCTCGGAGGAACTCCGCCACCCGGCTGCCGGCGACCCGGAGCCCGCGATGGCTCTAGCCCTTCGCCGACTCCTCCGGTTCGCGGAGGAGCTGCGGCGCCGGCCGAAAGGAAGTCTCAGGATGGTAGGTCGGAAGGGGGCTCAGAAGAAGAAACCCGGCCGCAGCCGCCTCCGAGGCGAGCGGGCTCAGACAAAGGACCGGCGCCTGCGGTCGGCACGCGGGGGAGGGGAGGGGCGCAGGCGCAGACGCTCGGCGGCCCCCGCCTCAGGCCGCCCGGCAGCCTCCCCTCGCTCCCACCCCATTCCCCTCGCAGGACCGGCCGCCCGGACTCACCGTCCCGGGCCGTGCCCATGAGCTGGTCCAGCAGGGCCCGCATCTGCGCCTGGGCGGACATGGTGGCCGGCGTGGGCGGCAGAGACGGCCGCGACGGCTCCTCACAGCAGCAGCAGCTGCGACGACGAAACCTGCTCCTGTCGGCCTCGAGCCTCCCAGACTCCTTCCCGCCGCGAAGGACGCCGGTAGGAAGTACGTATGCACCCGCGCGGGGTCTTCCGGGAAATGTAGTTCCCCTGACGGGAAAGGGCGGAGCGGGGATCCGGGCATCTGCTGGCGACCAGTGAACCCTAAGTAGGACAGCGCGCTCATCGCGCGAGAAGACTAAGGTTCCGAGTGTCCCAAAGGGCGGAACCAAAATCCCAACCCCAGTTTTACTCCAGACCCCAAGACTTCAATTTCTATGCTATGCTAACGGTAAAAAATATAGTCAAGTCGAACTAGAAAATAAATGACACGGTTTTTTTTTGACAGCCACGAAACCGTGAGCGTATCGTTTAGTTACTCTGAATGTCAGTTTTTACTTCTGTGAATGGGAGTCTAACGGTGCCTCTCGTATGACTTTAGTGAAAGTTAAATAAAGTATGGGATTAACGTTGGTTCTCTGAGCTGATAATCTGCCATCCAGGGGGTAAAAGAAGACATGTATACAAATAAGTACTGTACGTTGTAATAGGATTACAGAATGCATATATGCGTATATAGTCTGTCACATACTTCTATTATGTATAATGTCCATCATAGATCTTGCCAAGGAGCCCTGGTGGCACAGTGGTTAAAGCGTTTGACTCTTAACTGAAAGGTCAGAGGTTTGAAACCACCAGCCGCTCTGCGAAAGATGTGGCAGTCTGCTTCCATAGAGGTTTACAGCCTTGGAAACCCTATGGCATCACTATGAGTCGGAATCAACTCCACCGCAGTGGGGGGTTTTTTTGGTATAGATCTTGCCACTAGTCGTCTATCAGTTTGTCGTGCTGTGGTGACTTGCTTGTTACTGTGATGCTGGAAGCTATGCCACTGATTTTTCTTTCTTTTCTTTTTTGGCTTTAACAAACAGAAATCTATTCTCACACAGTGTAGTAGGCTAGAAGTCTGAATTCAGGGTGTCAGTTCCAGGGTAAGGCTCTCTCTCTTTGTTAGCTCTGGGGGAAGGTCCTTGTCATTAATCTTCTCCTGGTCGAGGAGCTTCTCAGCACAGGGACCCTGGGTCCAAAGGATACACCCTGCTCCTGCCACTACTTTCTTGATGGTATGAAGTCCCCATGTATCTCTGCTGGCTTCTCTCTTTTATATCTCAAAAGAGAATGACTTAAGACACAACCTAATCTTGTAGATTCAGTCCTGCCTCATTAACATAACTGTCACTAAGCCCACCTCATCAACATCACAGAGGTAGAATTTACAACAAATAGGAAAATCACATCAGATTACAAAATGGTGGACAGCAACACAGTACTTCCAATCATGGACTAGCCAAGTTGACACGTTTTTTGGGGGGACACAATTCAATCCATAACAATATTTTGCCAAAAGATACTCCAATGATATGAAATCTAACATGAAGATCTTCTTCCTTTTCATATTAGTCCAGGTTCTTTTGATTGTAAGCAACAGAAATATGCTTGGGCTACCTTAAGCTAGAAGGTAAATTTATTTTATTATTTTTTTATTGTACTTTAAATGAAGGTTTACAGAGCAAACAAGTTTCTCATTAAACAATTAATACATATATTGTTTTGTGACATTGGTTGTCAATCCCAAGACATGTCAACATTCTCCCCTTCTTGACCTTGGGTTCTCAATTACCAACTTTCCTGTCCCCTCCTGCCTTCTCGTCTTTGCCCCAGGGCTGGTGTGCCCATTTAGTCTCGATTTGTTTTATGGGCCTGTCTAATCTTTGGTTGAAGGGCGAACCTCAGGAGTGACTTCATTACTGAGCTTTAGGGGTGTCCAGGGGCCATACACTCTAGGTTTCTCCAGTCTCTGTCAGACCAGTAAGGCTAGTCTTTTTTGTGTGTGTATGTGTATTAGAATTTTGTTGTACATTTTTCTCTAACTCTGTCTGCCACCTGCCAGCAGGGTCACCCATGGTGGACAGGTTTCAGCTGAGCTTCCAGACTAAGACAGACTAAGAAGAAGGACCCAGCAGTCTATTTCTGAAAAAATTGGCCAGTGAAAACCTTATGAATAGCAGCAGTACATTGTCTGATATAGTGCCAGAAGATGAGCCCCTCAAGTTGGAAGGCATCCAAAAGGGACCGGGGAAGAGCTGCCTCCTCAAAGTAGAGTTGACCATAAAGATGTGGATGGAGTCAAGTTTTTGGGACCTTCATCTGCTGATGTGGCACGACTCAAAATGAGAAGAAAGAGCTGCAAACATCCATTAATAATTGGAACTTGGAATGTACCAGGTAGGACTCTAGGAACATTGGAAGTCGTCAAAAATGAAACAGAATGCATAAACATCAATATCCTAGGCATTAGTGAGCTGAAATGGACTGGTGTTGGCCATTTTGAATCAGACAATTATATGGTCTACTATGTGGGAATGACAACTTCAAGAGGAATGGTGTTGTATTCATCGTCAGAAAGAACATTTCAAGACCTATCCTGAAGTACAGTGCTGTCAGTGATAGGATAAAATCCATATGCCTACAAGGAAAACCAGTTAATATGACTATTATTCAAATTTACACACCAACCACTAAGGCTAAAGATGAAGAAATTGAAGGTTTTTACCAGCCTCTGCAGTCTGAAATTGATCGAACATGCAATCAGAATGCATTGATAATTACTGGTGATTGGAACGCAAAAGTTGGAAACAAAGAAGAACAATTGGTAGTTGGAAAATATGGCCTCGGTGATAGAAACGATGCCAGAGATCACATGATAGAATTTTGCAAGACCAAAGACTTCTTCATTGCAAATACATTTTTCACCAACATAAACAGCGGCTATACACATGGACTTCGCCAGATGGAATACACAGGAATCAAATCGACTACATCTGTGGAAAGAGACGATGGACAAGCTCAATATCATCAGTCAGAACAAGGCCAGGGCTGACTGCGGAATAGACCATCAATTGCTCATATGCAAGTTCAAGTTGAAACTGAAGAAAATCAGAACAAGTCCATGAGAGCCAAAGTATGACCTTGAGTATATTCCACCTAAATTTAGAAACCATCTCAAGGAAGATTTGACGCATTAAACACTAATGACCGAAGACCAGACGAGTTGTGGAATGACATCAAGGACATCATACATGAAGAAAGCAAGAGGTCACTAAAAAGACAAGAAAGAAAGGAAAGACCAAAATAGATGTCAGAAGATACTCTGAAACGTGCTGTTGAACGTTGAGTAGCTAAAGCAAAAGGAAGAAATGATGAAGTAAAAAACTGAACAGAAGATTTCAAAGGGTGGCTTAAGAAGACAAAGTAAAGTGTTACAATGACATGTGCAAAGACCTGGAGATAGAAAACCAAAGGGGAAGAATATGTTCAGCATTTCTCAAGCTGAAAGAACTGAAGCAAAAATTCAAGCCTCGAGTTGCAATAGTGAAGGATTCTATGGGGAAAATATTAAAAGACACAGGAAGCATCAAAAGAAGATGGAAGGAATACACAGTCATTATACCAAAAAGAAATTGTCGATGTTCAACCATTTCAAGACATAGCTTACGATCAGGACCCAATGGTACTGAAGGAAGAAGTCCAAGCTGCACTGAAGGCATTGGCAAAAAACTAGCCTCCAGGAATTGACAGAATATCAGTTGAGCTGTTCCAACAAATGGATGCAGAGCTGGAAGTGCTCCCTTGTCTATGCCAAGAAATTTGGAAGACAGCTATCTGGCCAACTGACTGGAAGAGATCCATATTTATGCCTATTGCCCATAAAGATGATCCAACGGATTGTGGAAATTATGGAACAATATCATTAATATCACACAAGTAAAATTTTGCTGAAGATCATTCAAAAGTGGCTGCAGCAGTATGTTGACAGGGAACTGCCAGGAATTCAGGCTGGATTCAGAAGAGGACGTGGAACCAGAGATATCATTGCTGATGTCAAAAGGATCTTGGCTGAAAGCAGAGAATACCAGGAAGATGTTTACTTGTGTTTTATTGACTATGCTAAGGCATTTGACTGTGTGGATCATAATAAATTATGGATAACATTGCAAAGAATGGGAATTCCAGAACACTTAATTGTGCTCATGAGAAACTTGTACATAGACCAAGAGGCAGCAGTTTGATCAGAACAACAGGATATTGCGTAGTTTAAAGTCAGAAAAGGTATGGGTCAATGTGGTATCCTCTCACCACACTTATTCAATCTCTATGCTAAGCAAATAATCCGAGAAGCTGGTCTATATGAAGAAGAACGCAGCATCAGGATTGGAGAAAGACTCACTAACAATCTGAGATAAGCAGATGATACAACCTCGCTTACAGAGCCCTGGTGGCGCAGTGGTTGAGAGTTTGGCTGCTACCCAAGAGGTTGGCAGTTTGAATCCACCAGCGGCTCCTTGGAAACCCTATGGGGCAGTTCTACTCTGTCCTATAGGGTCGCTATGAGTCGGAATCCACTTAATGGCAACGGGTTTACAACCTTGCTTCCTGAAAGTAAAGAGTTCTTGAAGCACTTACTGTTGAAGATCAAAGACTACAGCCTTCAGTATGGATTACACCCTCAACATAAAGAAAACAAAAGTCCTCACAACTGGACCAATAAGCAACATCATGATAAACGGAGAAAACATTGAAGTTGTCAAGGATTTCATTTCACTTGGATCCACAATCAATGCCCATGGAAGCAACAGTCGAGAAATCAGACGGCGTATTGCATTGGGCAAATCTGCTGCAAAAGACCTCTTTCAAGTGTTAAAAAGCAAAGTTGTCACTTTGAGGATCAAGGTGCGTTTGACCCAAGCCATGGTGTTTTCAATCGCCTCATATGCA